GGATGCTCTCCAGGTAGGTTGAGCGTGTGGTCTCCAGAGGTTTTCTGGCCCTATGTCCTGTCTCTTCCTGCAGAAAAACTTCCCTACTTCTGAAATATGTATGGGCCACCTGATCTCTTCGGAGCTGTTCCAGTAGTCACTCAGAGCCTGGTCTTCCCTTTGGAAAACACTTTTTAAAGATGCTCTCCAAGACCTTTGGTGGCACCCCCTTCTCTGTCACAGCTGGGGCAGCACAGGGAAGCTCCTGGGGATGCTAAATCCTACAGGAGAGCCCTAGAGCACCAGGGACACGGCACTGCTGGTACGATGGGCTATAGGGGACTACCACGTGCTGCGATCGCACCTTTTCCACTCTAGCAGATGGGGCTGGAGCGAGACAGGGAGGTTTTTTTCCAGCAGTTTCATGGGTTTTGTAGTCTACGGCTTTGCTCCCTTTTGCTTGTGTTTTTACTGTTACAATCTGCTCACAAGATCGGCCCTGGTTCACGTGGGGCCCTGGTGATGAGGCAGATGAGTCAGTGGGTGTTGATGGACGAGTGCTGGGGACAAAGAAAGTTGTGGCTTCAGCAGCTCAGGGAAAATACCAGCGATATCACTCTCAAATCAAACTGAAGGGGAGAGCGGGGACTGGGTTTTCTTAGGGCTGAGCCTGGTGCTGTAACAAAAATTGGCAGACAGACACACGAATAAGTCATACGCGAAGCCTGTGGTCTCTCTGCCTCTTCAGATCCCTCCTTCCCTGCAGCTCCCCAAGACTCAAGCCCCTTACGAGTACATCAGTAGAGTAAGGGTGGGCTGCAGCGCTCGCGTTTCTCATTGTGCTGCAACGACATTTGTGGTTCTGCTTTTATTACCGCCTCGTTCAAATCCTCCCCCTTCTCCATCTGTCCATGGACAGAGAGATTTTTATAGTAAGTCCCCATCTTAGCTGCTCCTGAGTTCCCAGAAGGCACAGACGTGGCCTCCTGCCTACCCTCTTCTATTTAAAACAGGAGGAAAACCCATCTAGTCTTTTTTTTAGTGTTTTCTATCCTTCCCTTTCCACATTAAGGGGGGATGTTGATAATTCTGGTGCTGTTTGTGCCCGGAGGACTCACCCTGTACAGCTCTGCCTGTCCTAATCCCTCCTTCCACCTCTCCCTGTGGGAAATGCTGAAAAATGGTTTTGCTGTTAATTTTGCAGTTACTACAATACCAAGTCGGTCCTTCTGTGTCTGGGGATCACAGCTCTGGTGTGTCTGTCTGTCATGATCTTCAGCTTCCAGACCAAGGTGAGTTTGTGCCGATCTGAGAGGCAGCTCCCAGGGGTAGGACCCCTCAGGGTCAGGCGGCGCTGGGGGTGAGGTGTGAGGGGGCAGGTCTGTAGGGCTCCAGGTACTGGAGCAACCTGAGGGATGCTGGGCTGTAAAGTGAAGGTTACAAGAAGGTTAGGACAGATGCTGGGGTGAGGGGTGTGTTTAGATGGGGCTGGAAGATGCTAATGTATGGGGGTGGGGTGGTTTTTTTGGAGGATTAGGCTGTGTGGTACAGAAGGGCACCAGCACAAATGCGTGTGGCGGGCTTTTAGATTTCAGGGATGTGATGGGTGCCGAGCTCTCGCCCATGGGGATATGGCAAGCGCTTGGCTCTGTGCCATACAGACGGGTGCTGGGCTATAGGACTTGAGATGCAGATGAAGCAACTGCCATGTGACAGCAAGATGGGTTTGCTGCTGGCAAGTCCCTCCCTGTGGACGCGGGGAGGTTTGGCTCTCCTTGCTGCCTCCTGTCATCACTCTGCACTTGTAACGTGGTGCGCTTTACCTCTGCAGTTTGACTTCACCTCCTACCAGGGTGTCCTCTTTGTGATGCTCATGGTCCTCTTCTTTGGTGGCATCATCCTGGCTGTGATACTGCCCTACCAATATGTGAGTAATGACCTGTGCCCCTCCTTCCTCCCCCAGCGCCACCAGTCCTGATGCAAGGCTGGGAGCTGCTCAGCCTAAAGTAGGCAAGCTCCAGGGCTTGGCTTGAGAGGGGTGTCCCAGCCTGCTCTCCAAAAACCTGCAGAAACACCAACAGAAAAAAAAAGGCAAGATCAGGCAGCTGTTGCCTTCTTGTTGTACAATCAGATATCAGTTTTTAGGACAGAACTGGCCTGGGGCTTGAGGAAGTTTGTTTCTGTTCCTGGAGCTGTGTAGTGACTCCACAGGAGGCCACATCACCTGCTTGTGCCTCAGTTTCCCCTCCAGTAAAACCAGGGCTGTGCGCACATTAGCGCGCTGGCCTGCCCAATAGAAAACAGGGCTCTTGCCCCAAACTGAGGGCAGGTCTTGGACTCAGGACAAGCACAGTGGGATGCCTGTCTGGCCAGACCTGGCTGTACTGACACTAACATCAGGTACCATCCTGAAGTATTTAAATCTTGAGGCTCAAATTTCTCAGAAATAAGCTCCTCTGGAGAGGGGCCGGGAACATGTCCCGACCATGAGTGACCACCTTGTCACTCCTCCAGCTGCTGGCAGCCCCTCTTGCATGGGTCCAGCCCCTTCCTTCAGCCTTCCTGCTTTTGGCTCAGACCCAGTCACAGCTGGCATTGGCTGTGTCCAGCTGAAATCTTGGGGTGGCTTGTGACCACAGCTGATAGAGGGTTTGGCGTGGCAGCATGGAGCGTCTGGTCTCCATCCAAGGGTGTCTTTAGGTGAGTTGGCATTCAGGCAAGAGCCCGAGAGACCCTGGAAGATGCTGATGGAAGAGGGAAGGTGGGGGGGCTGTGCAGCAACCGTTAATCACCCTGAATGCCTGCTTGCACTGGAGATGGAGGCACCTGGCTTTGATCACAGCAACCTTTAAGTGACCTCCAAACCCTTCACATCTTACCTGGCTTCTCTGGGGCCCTGAGTCACACTTTAAAGGCCAGACCTACAGGAGACACCACTCCCACTGGTAACAGCCTTGGAGTTGGTCTGATGACAGGCAAATACACAGGCCAGCGTTTCCAAACCCAGGAGCTCAGATTTGGGTTGTCCTTGCTTGAGATCCACCTCTCCCCTGTCCAAATGTGAGGGTAAAGCAGCTTGCAGTGCCTAGCCGCTGCCTAAACTGTTGAGACAACTACTCTTTATCATGCAGCTTGTCAAGATAAGCATAGCTTGAGGCATCGTTGTCATAAGCCTGTCTATCTGGGGAGGCAGGCTGTGATCCCTGGGTTGAATCAACTGTCCATGTAGGCACCTTCTCCTGGAATATCGGCAGCTTCTCCATTAGCGCTGCGTGTTACTGGGCCACAGCAAGCAGGGGTTGAGGTTTGGTCTTAATTCCAGTGAATTTCCTGCTGTGACTCCAGCAGATGAACACATTTAAGTTGAGCTTGTTAATTAAAGCTGGGTTTGTCTCTTGGAAGCATTTGGTGTTTCTTCCAGTGGCATCAGCCTTGTCTGGGTAAATAAACACATAGGCCTGCTGCAAAATAAGTTTCCATTAGGATAGTGCTAAGCTACTTCCTCAGAGATGGCAGCTGTGTTGAAGTAGGCTATTTGGAAACACAAGTACCTGATCTAGAAGCTTATAAGCCCCAGTAGACACAAAGGCCACAGTGAGAGGGGAAACTGAGGCACGGTGACCTGTTTTTTGCCACAAGGTCAACAACAGAAACTGTGGTGGAGCTGGAGTCCACCCTGGGCTATTAGAGCACTTTCCCTAACTCATATCCTCCACATGAGAGCTAAGCCCTCTTCTGTGTCAACTCCTAATTAACCAGTTTTCTCCCAGGCACTGACTGATGGATTTGTTTGCTTTAGGTCCCCTGGCTCCACGCGATCTACGCTCTGCTTGGTGCCATTATCTTTACTATGGTAAGTGGTGCTGGTCATGGGGCCTGGGAATGTGCTGGCAGGAAAAATAAGCAAATAAGCATGGGGTAAATGCTTTTAGCCTTGAAGGGAGCTTGGGGAAGGGAGAAGAGCGAGTCCTGGGATTGTAGAGAGCTCCACATCCTTAAATGGCTCGTGAGTAGCAATTATTGTTGTGACCTCAGCCTTGTCCCGCGAAGGTGTTGATGTACATGACAGCACTGGTGCAGAACATGGGGTGATTGGCAAACCCGTGCTGTATGCGCAATGCGAGGTGTGAACAGGAGAAGGCATCTACAATGCAATGGACAGGGCAAAAAGGCATCTCTGGAGAGGGAAAAGCAGAGATTAAGCTTTGGCACAGCAGTGTGAGCTGGATTGCAGGGCTCAAAGGGAGCCTGGGGATGAAATGAGGCTGCAGAAGTGAGCAAAGTCAAGTTGGGGCTGGTTGAGTGGGAGCGGGCCAAGGACTGAGTATGAGTTTGACTAACAGAGGTACAGAAAGAGTGAGAGGCCATGGTTTGGGATTAAGGGGCATTAGGAAGGTTTGTTGCAGGGAGGAAAAGCCCTGAAGCTGGGCAACTCCTCCAAGGAAAGCTGAAAAAGCTTGATTCATTCCTTTGCTCACCAGCAGTCCCTCCTGCAAGCCTCTTCCCAGAGCAAGTCCCAGCAGAGCCATGCTTGCCATTCAGGTGTGGGCCTTCTCTGGGCTGATGCTTGGCAGTACCTCGAGGTGGGGGTCAGGAGGAGGGCTGCCTTGGGGTTTAAGGCGGTGACCATTGGGCATGTTGTGAATACGAACAGTTGAGCAATTTCATTTATTAGCTATAACAAAGTAATTTCAAGTGAGCTCAGATATTTCTTCTTGATTCACAATTAAAGACTGCTCTGTAAAATACAAGTAGGCTAAACTCCTCATGATTACCCCATAAAACTCAGTCAAACTGAGCTTGTGGTGTCTGTTGTGCCAGGCTTGGCAGCTCAGCCTGACAATGTCTGGGGAGACCAGTTATTTATGGCAGAGGAGCTTGGCTGACTCCAGGCGATGGCAAAGATGCCCTGCCAACCCTGAGGAGCTCCATGCCAAGGTGTCTGTCACGGGCTGGATTAACAGAGGGAGTAAAGGTGAGATGGGAGAAGATACGGAGCTTGAAGTCGTTCAACAAGGTGCAGGCTTTCTTGCAGCGGAGCCACCAGCCTGCCTTGTAGCCCATGTTTGTTCATGTGAGTGCTGTGTCCCTGCAGGCTGGCTGGGCAGTGGATTCCCACTGTCACGGCTTTGCTTGGTAAAATCTGCCCTGCACTCACTCACGTTTGTACCTGGGAAAGGTGTTAGCTCCCCTCTGGGTCTGGCTACCTCTGCTGGCAGCTCTGCAGACCTTGGTGCTGCCCAGGATCTGGAGGTTCTTGCTCTTTATTGCTTTGGTGTTGCTGCTGCAATGCCATGGCTGGGCCCAGGTCACCTTGTTACCAAGGTGTTTCTGAACTGGGGAAGTCTGGGAATAACAAGTTGTAGGGACTGGCTGAGGAGGAACAAGGCAAACTGCTCCAGAGCTGATCCTGGGACATATTTGAGATGGATGAAGTAAAGGGCAACCTTGGGGGAAAAGCATGAAGGAAGCAGCCTGGAGGAATAGTTAAGCTCAGGGTTTGACTATCAAGAGTGAAATGAAGGAAGAGGAAAGTTGCAGCTTGTTCAGTGCATTGTTCTGAGCTTATAAATTGCAGTTACAGCCCATAAAACATGGCTGCATTTTTGTTCTGGGCACGGTGAAGCAACTGGGAGAACCCCTGTCATTAGAGCACTTCTTGCCTCCATGTGCTAAATCTCTCCGTGTGACTGTTACTGGTTTTCCCTCCTCTTCCCTCACAGTTCCTGGCATTTGATACCCAGATGCTGATGGGGAATCGTCGGTACTCGCTGAGCCCAGAGGAATATATCTTCGGAGCCCTCAATATCTATCTGGACATCATCTACATCTTCTCCTTCTTCCTCCAGTTCTTTGGCTCTAGCCAGGAGTGAGCGCAGCAAGGCAGTATCTTCTCTTTGCTGGCAAGATGCAAGTCTTTAAAAAAAAAAATATTAAAAGAGGAGAAAAAGAGGGTTTAAAAAACAAACAAAAGCAAACCCACCCTTTCTGACCCACTAGCAGGCTCCATTCAATCAGCTGAGCAAAGCCCCTGGGTTCCTTACGCAGCTTGTATATATGCTGTTAGGCCTTTGTGACCCAGAAAGCAAAGTAGGGCTTAAGTGTGATGTCTCTTCTACTCCCTCCACTCCTACTGAGAACAAACCAGACCAGAGACTGGGAGGCATGAGACCAAGATCTTCTTTTCCCCAGAGGCTGTCAGAGTTGCCTGTCTGAGTCCTGCACATCATGGGATCTTGAAGTGCTGAGAACAGCTCTGCAAAAGGAAAATAACATTAAAGGGAGGAGAGTAGGGAATTTTGCTAGGATCTTGGCAGGAAAACCAGCTGAACAAAGGGAAAAGGCTAGGGAAATCCCTGCATCCCCCTGTTTCTCTCCTGCGTTCTTTTGGATCCTTGTGGCCGCTGCAGAGATATATTCCTGATAGTGCCTGCTTTTAGAAGTGCAGAGCACAGGATCACGTAGTCTGGATGCCCCAGCAATCAGTCCTCCAGGCACAAGGGAACCTGTTGCTCAGGACGTGCAGCCTCTTTGAGGACGTCCCTTAATGCCCCTGCAGGATGAATTCTTCTGTATCCTTTGCATCTGGCCGTGGGGCTGAGTTTGTGCTTTCCTTCCTTCCCAGAGTGGGATAGCAGGACCACCGGCTGTGGGCTCACCTCCCCACCCAAGGGCAACGTGTGTGTCGGTTCTCTCTGAAGGTGTGGCTCTTCACCTGGGAGGGTTGTGATCCCACGTAAGGATTATTGGCAGAGAAGAGATGAAAGAGGCTGAGTTTCAGAGCCCATGCAAAGCCAGGCACCTCTTGATGTGAGAAATGGCTGGCTGAGATCCTGTGACCCATCATGAGGATCCGATTCCTTCACAAAATTGTCTTGGTTGCCCGAGTGGTTACTACCTAGAGACTGAGGCCAGGGGGAATGCCTGTTGCTCAAAATGGGCACCGCTTTGTAGCAAACACCAGTGTTGCCTCTGCCTCTTGCTTGGGCCATTTTCCAGTTTTGCTCCCCCAAACTGGGATGTCAGTGAGAGCACTGGATGCCTCCGAATGCTCAGGTAACTTTCCATCTTCCCCTTGCTCACATTCCCCTGTTCGGGGATTAGCTGGCTAATTTCTAACTGTAAAGCTCCAGGTGGAGATAAGAGGCCTCACTGAGCTGCCTCTAGCAATCCCTGCGTGTTAGAGAGAGGCTATGCCAAAATGCTCCGTACCGCACATTCCTCCTCTGCTGCTGCCCTGGCTTTTACCCTTCACATGTCTTATCCTCCCACCACAACGTGTTCAATGCCCCGAGCTGGGCAGAGGAAAGTTACTGTGCGGAGAGTAAAAACGCTTCAGCCCCTTTGTGGCTGCACTGACTTTGTGATCACACAGGAGCACAACTGTTGCTTTTCTACCTTGGTTTCCCCCCCCCAAAACCCCCCCCCCCCCCTTTTTTTTTTTTTTAGGAATAAAGGAGACTGTTAGGTGATGATAGCATTAAGTTCATGACCTACTGATTATGGTACATGCCAGAGAAGAAACAAGGGCCTTTGAATCGCCAAGCAGGCAGAATTGGCAGAGGGGACAGCATGGGAGGCACCTTTTAAGGTGCTTTTCAGTTTATGAAATAAGGTTTTAAAGAGGGAATTTTCTGGCTCAGACCCATGCAGGCACTTCTGAAATATCTTAGCAGACTGGCTGTGCAGCCTACTTTTTTTTTGGTCACAGCAAAAGGCCTGTGTAGGTATTTCTGCTTTCCAGCTTTTGAGGAGGGAGAATGGAGTTACATGATGAGTTCTGACTCTGAAATAGTCCTAAAATTCCTCTGGATGACAATCTAGACCAGAGCTGTGCAGCTTTCCTTTCTGCACTGGGACTCCTTCAAATTGGCCCTGCATACCCTGGGACCTGGGGAGGAGAACATGGATCTGCAGCCCACTCTGGATCTTTTGCTCTTTTTCCTTCTGGTGTGGAGTAGCTTTGCTGCCTGAGCTGCTGCTACCTCCTGGCTTTCTGCTCCCGTGTGGGAAAACCTTGCATGGCACCTGCTTGTCCCCAGGCCACTTGAGTGGGGATGGCTCACTGCCCTCCTGTGCCCCTCCACAGGGCTCCCTTCTTGCATGTGTCCTGGTCCCTCTTCTGTGCTGACCCCATGGCTTGCAGTCCATCCAAGCCAGACCCAGTGAAAGCACTTGGACCGAAGCAGTGAGTAATATGTGCTTGGAGAGGTGGAACTCCCCCTGAGGCTGAGTAACACAGGATTAGGGGTGGGATATAGCTACAGGCACGCTCCTCCTGGTCTCCCTGACCATCTGCGTGGGCTGCTTCCCTTCCTCTGTGTGGATGTCCTTTATCTGAGGTCTGCATCACCTGGACACTTGCTCTGTATCCTCCTGCTCCTTTTGTCCGGCCATTCTTATGATTTCATTGTAAATAGGATTTTGTATTTTCTCTGAACATTGCTAATAAATTGTTGCAAAACTGTTATTGCTGTTTTGAGGTCTCCTTACTGGAGTACAGCTGATTGAAGGTCTGCTTGCACAGCTGGTGCATCATCCCCTTAAAATAGAGGACATAAACAAGGCTATGGCATGATGTGGCATGGCCTGAGGTGGTAATGGAGACCAGGCTGTCCCTTTTCTGGTTATGACTAAGGAATGCATCCTACACAAAGTAATAAAATGCACACGGCTCCAGCATAGGCATCATGCATGAGCAGTTTTTGAGATCTGAGGGCCAAAGAGCTCCTTGGTGAGAATCCTGCTTGCTCTTAGACTTGGTTTAAGTGGCCACAGGATTAAAAAACAAGTAAGTGAGAGTAAGCAAGTATTGTAAGCAAGGCTTAGAGGGCTCAGAAGGCATTTTCTGTAGCTCTGGAGAGTAACATGATGTACTAAGCTTTCTCTAGAGTCAATGGAGGAAAAAGAAATGCCCCCAGAGAGCAATGCACCTGACCTAAATTAATGCCTACACTACATCTATCAGCTCTGGAGGGTTGATTAGCATGGGCTGTCAGGGCTCTCAAGGGAGAGAAATCCAAACTGCAGCATCTTGTTGCAACAGATCTCTGCTCCTTGGAAGGAGCTGTGTCCAAAAGGCAGGGGTGAGATTTGTTTCCTAAGAAGCATGGTTAAACAGTGCGGTGCAGCCAGTATGGTCTTTTTTCACCACAGTTGCATTTTCTGCGGCAAGAAGATATTTTGCCCTGTGTTGTGCTGGGTAATGCTCTGCTGTAGGACAGCATTTGCAAAAAAATAGCTGGAGTGTGCAAACAATGAGGTGGCCATGAGCATTTATATGAGGCATTATTAGCTGTTCCCATAATTACCACAAATAGGGTAAAAGGCTGATGATTCAGTCAAATTTCAATACTTGGCTCTTGAGCAGGGCAGAAATTCATTTGGCTTAATCAAAGTGGGACCACTCGGAGGTAGAATGCAGGGATGCGGGAGAAGGGAGAGGACAGGGAGATTCATCAGGGTGTGAAGGATGCTGGAAAGAGGAAGGGATTACATCATTTTCCATACCCACAGCAAACAGGACAGGAATTCAGGGGCCCTAAATACAGCCAGAGACAGAGGAGACCTAAAAACCCCTGAATTCCACTGCCTGGAGAAGGGGGGATTTTTTTATTTATTTTTCCACTTCTTTCTGCCTGCCTTCCCTTCCGTGCTTGAGGTATTTTGAGGAAGGATGGAGTCTTCATGCCAACTCTGCACAGGCCTTGCCACGGTGCGGGGGAATCCCTGCCGATCCCTGCTTGCTTCTTCCATGGCAAGAACGAAAGGCAAGAAGGGCCCTGATTCAGGCAGGAGTCGTTCACCTCCATTTCTGAGCTCCTGGCGCCCTCTGCTCTTCATGCTGTGATAAAAAAAAAATCAGCCTAAAATGAAATCCAGGTTCCCCGCATCACCATGACCCTAAACCATGCCAACTCCTTTAACTGTGAGCATTCATTTTCTTCTACTGCAAAACCTCCTTCAAGCTGCCTGTCTGTGGGGGCCTGGGCAATCCCAGGGCAATCCCATGCTTAAATGCGATTTAAATAACATTTATATGTTATTTATATGTGTGTGTAAATAACATTTTTATAAAAGTTTGTAAACGCTTTTGTAAGTGGGGACAGCGCTGGCCGAGGTTGGGTTGCCCAGATTCAGGTGGGTTTTGACAGCGGCACTGAGTGAAAGCCAAAATAAAATTTCTGGCTTTATTTGAGACCAGTCTTTGGACGTGGGCTGTTCCTCGGGGGATGTGGCTCCCCCAGGGCCGAGGCGCCCTGGGCAGGGGGGGACCCCCAAATTCCCCCCCTC